CTTAATGACAAAAGGAGAGTATATTCTAGTTTATGAACACTTTAATCCTCAAGTTTTTGATTCATAAAGTTTTGTACTAAAAGTTATCATTTCTTCTAATTAAGTCTTTTCTCCACAAAAAATGAAAATGATGTAAAACCAAGTAAAAAACATGAAACTCATTCAAATATTAATAATAACAAGACAAAACTTCTAAATTAATATCTATGGAATTTCAACCTATTAGCCACTACATTAATGAAATATTATTAAGCTTTACAATGAAACACAAAGAAAAAAAATTTAAGGGCCAAAAATTTTTTTCAAGGACAATTGATTAAAAAAACTTTTTTGGGAGGCAAATTAATAAGATAACCTTTATATTTTAATGATTTTCAAAAGTTTTGAGGGCATGGCCTCCTCACATATCTCGTTCTTGATTGTTGTATTCTGATGGGGAGATATTTAACATAACAAAAAGATATTTAATAACCTATTACATATTTTGATACAATCTTAAAATTAAAAGAATAGTTTCGTAGTTTCATAAGTTTTGGCATATTTAAACCACTCTTTCTTTTCGTATTTCTTCTATGTGAGACTCTTGTTTTCCACACTTATTATGGAACAACTTACTTTAACACTCTACCTTTCGCTTGTAAGGTTTAAAAGGCTCACGTGAGAGGTTTTTTTTTTTTTTTTTTTTTCATTTTTTAAGTTTGCATACATGCATAATCCATGTGTATACTCATCATAGACACAACATTATCTATAGGTATACTTATCATGGGTTACATTACATACACTTTCACGAGCTAAGCCCAGCCCAACATTGAAATACCTAGCTCTTACAATATTGACTCTAAGACCACCATGTAGAGAAATAAAGATAGAGTACAAGTGAAAAATGAACATGAATTTGAGATTTAACTTGAAATTAATGATATAAACATAAACTTGAGATTGACATAACATTTACTGAGCTTATCTAACATAACTCAACAAACATAAACCTATATATCAATTTTAATGTACAGCAATTGATAGATGACAATTGCTAAAACATAAGTAAAGAAATTGTGAAACAAACCCACTAAGTGTGGTTTACAAAATTACATAAATACAACCTTAACTGTCATAACAATCTTAACAAATTTGGTATTGAATACTTCAACAAACATCATTATGGGTTCACATTACCTACATTCTCACTTGCTAAATCTAGTCCAAGAATGAAATTAGCATTGGCTTTACTACACCATTGGCTCCGATATTACTTGTTAGGAGATAAGTAGCCTAGCAAGGAAACATTTGGGCTCATCATATGTTTGACGCTATCTTAAAACCAAAAAACTAGTGCAATAATTTAATGTTTCTAACATATTAAAACCACTCTTTCTTTTCATGTTTATTTTATATAAAAGTCTTGTTCTTGACACTCGCGAGGGGTACAACTTCAACATATTTAGGTGGGAATGGAAACGCAGTTTCACCTTGCTCATCAGCGGCATCAACCTCTAGCTTTTAGCCAAGAAAGGAAGATATTCTAGGATTCTATCTTCATTATTGAATTTTTTCCCTATGTGATTTTACTTTGATGCGATGCATAAACTCGCTGCAATTGCTTGCTTATACTATAATTTTCGGCAAAAATAATTTATATGCTTCTATATTTTTCAACTTTTTTAGATACTGCTCCAACTGTTTTGTGATTTTAATTACCCCATAAGAAATCACAGCCCTTAATTTTTGGTTTGATCATCCTAAATTTAACATTTATATCATCATTCTTGTTTGCTTGCCTCAACAAACTTTATAATTTTGCATTTATCTAGAGTAATAACATTAACAACAGAATCATGATGCTTGTTGACTAATTAATTTATTAAATTTGAAATAATTTCATTCAACCTAAATATATATCATTTGAACTAGAAAAAAAAAAGTTACAAGGAGTAATTTCAATAAATTCGAAAATTGCAAAAGGCTAATATACCTTTTTGCTTCTTGAGGAGGGAATCAAGATTGACAAGTTAATCACCTCAAAATATTCTTACCTTCCATGCCAAACCATGCTACCTTATAAAACTTGCAGTGAATTTAATTACAACATTCGAAGGATTCATTCTTATGTTTTGAGTGTTGCTATTGTTATTTGGTTCTTATTTTTCATCCCTTGAATCCTTTCTCCAAAGAGATGGCTGATCAAAAACTTATTAAAGTAGGAGCTGCAGGATACTTTTCTTGTGAAGATGAATTTTGGGATGAAAAGGGTAATTCCGAACTCTACGAAATATACATTTCCTACGGAGATTGTGTTCAATCCATTCAATTTCAGTATGTTGTGAACGGAAAATTAGTGATGTCTGAGCTACATGGAATATGCAAAGGTCCCAAATTCAATCTGGTATGGTCTCTCAGCCTTTTTTTGTGTTGCGGTTGTTGCATATTACATCAAAAAAATAAAAATAAAATAAAAAATACAAAATACAAAAACAAAACCAAAAAAAAAAAGACCTAATAAGTATTGGCATTGCTATTTCTTGTGTTTTGAAGCAGATAAGGCTCATATATCCATCAGAGTTTCTCACTAGGATAAGTGGTGACTGCTTGCCTAACCATAAAATCAGTTCTCTGAAAATTACGACCAATAAACAATGCTACGGGTCCTTTGGTCGCCCTACAAATGCTCACCACTTTGATTTTCAGTTTGGAAATTCAAGGCAGTTTGGGGGTTTTTATGGGTACTGTGACAAAACTCGCAACAATTGCCTGGCAGCCCTTGGAGTGTACTTTAAGCCCTCCTCTAAATTGGAGATCATTACTGGGAACTGCATATCAGTGGAAACAGAACACACGGACGATGATTCATGTGCATGTAATGATCCATGTGCAGGGTGTAGAAGAAAGAATTAATGTATGAAGCATAAAGTTCAAAATCTGTTATGTATCCATTTATGTTATTCAGATGCTAATCTATTGTAATAAAATATTCATATTAATAAGCTTCCTTTGATACATAACCTTATTCTTCTTATCTATCATAATGAATCCTAAGTTTTACTCGTCTTCGAGTAAAATAAATAAAGAAAAGAACAAAAATAAAATCTAACTCACTTTCGTAAGAATCACGATTGCACTTGGCATGTGCAACAAGCCTTTAAACCCCTAGGTCACCCTAGTGAACGAGTTGTGTCTCGTGAGGGTTTGCAGTGGATCTACCCACAAAATCCTAATGCAAGAATGTAACTACATGATATGCATGCAAATAAAATTTAGGAATTAAAGTTCAATTAGAGACAAAGTCTCAAATATTCAAAAGTCCTCACATGCTCACTTAAAGTAAAATACTTCATCTTAGTCTTCACACCACTTGTTAAAAGATTTAGCCCATGAGCACTTAGTGTGTGTGTGGAAATTCATATTAAGAAGTTTTGAGTTTAGACCTTCACACCTTAGCACTTATTACTATCTTTTTTTTTTTTTTCTCCCCTCAATTTTTTTTTCATAGGTCGAGTTTCCTTAGGCTTTCTAA